AAGGGGGGGTGGGAGGGAAATAATAATAGCAACATTTATAGATTGCACCTTATAAGTGAAGCAGTGTCGCCAATGATTTACATATATTAATTTATTTCTCATATGTAACCTATTATCCTTATTTTACAGACAGATTTTTTAAAAATTATCATACAGTAAAATTGACTAATTTTTACTTTTTAAATGTATAATTTGATTAATTATAACACAGGCATAGTTTATATAATCTGTACCATAATGAGATATAGAATAGGTCTATCACCTCAAAAACCTTTCCTCCCATCTTCCCTTATAATCACCCCCCACCACACTTAAAACCACCAGCAACCATCATAACCACTAAAACTCTATTGTTTTGTCTTTCTGAGAATGTCATACAAATGAACCAATACTGTATATAACCTTGGAGACTGGATTCTTTCCAATTTCTTTCAGTAAATTGCCCTTGATATTCATCCAAGTTGTTGTATGTATCAATATTTCATTTCTGTTTATTTCTGATTAATATTCCATTTTATGGATTTACCATAGTTTATTCATTCACCTGTTGAATAGATTTTATTTCCTCAGTTTTTAGGCATTTATGAATAGAGCTGCTACAAACATTCATGTACAGGTTTTTGTGCTTACTTATCTAGGGTACCTATGCAGGAATGGGCTTACTGGGTCATATGGAAAGTATATGTTTATAAGAAATTGCTAATCTGCTCTTCAGAGTAGCCGTACTGTTTTGCTTTCTCACTAATGATGTACAAAAGTTTCAGTTGCTCTTTGTCTTCATCAGCACATATTATTGTCCTTTTTTTTATTTTGTCAATTCTAATAGTTGTATTATTGGTATTACACTGTGACTTTAATTTACATTTCCCTAATACTAATGATGTTCAGCAGATATTTCTTTTCTTCTGTTTATTTGTCATCTTTATATCGTCTTTGCTGATATATATGATATCATCTTTGTCTGTATATATGCTTTGAATAGTTTTGTTTTTTGTTTTTTGGGTTTTTTTTTGAGTTGGAGTCTTACCCTGTCACCCAGGCTGGAGTGGTGTGGAATGCTCATGGCCACCCCGGTGTTGACCTGCTGGGCTCAGGTGATCTTTCCACCTCAGCCTTCCAGGTAGCTGGAACTACAGATGTGCACTACCACGCCTGGCTAAGTTTCTGATTTATTGTAGAGATGAGGTCTCACCAAGTTGCCCAGGCTGGTCTTGAACTCGTGGGCTCAGGCAATCCTCTCACCTCGGCCTCCCAAAGTACTGGCATTACAGGCTTGAGCTACTGCACCTGGCCACTTTGAACAGTTTTAAATTGGCTTGTGTTTTTTCTATTGTTGACTTTTTGACAGCTCTTTTTATATTCTGAATGTAAGTCCTTTGTTGGTGTGTGATTAGCAAATATTTCTTCTTAGCCTGTAGCTTATCTTTTCATTCCCTTAGCTGTGACTTTTGCAGAGCAAAAGTTTCTAATTTCTTTTTTTTTCCCCCTTAATTCTTTGGTAGATCCTTATAGTTTCTAATTTTGATGAAGTCTGATTTATCAGTGTTCTATTTTATGGATTGTGCTTTTGCTGTCATGTCTAAGAACTCTTTGCCCAACTGCAGGTCATGAAGATTTTCTCTTGTTTTCTTCAGAAGTTTTATGGTTTCACATTTTACATTTAAACCTGTGATCCATTTTGAGTTAATTTTAAAGAATATATGAGGGTTAGGAGGTTCATGTTTTTACACATGAAGATCAACCATCCCAGCATCATTTGTTTGGGTTTATTTCTGTATTGTCATCTACTAAGTCGATCTCTGCCTATATCCCTTCACCAGTACCAAGATTTCTTAATTACCGTAGCTTGAAAGTAAGACTTCAGACTGGATAGTTTGATTCTTCCAACCTTTTTCTTTCTAAAATTATTTTATTTATTTATTTATTTTGAGTTGGAGTCTCACTCTGTCGCCCAGCCTCGATCTGCTGGGCTCCGGCGATCCTTCCGCCTCAGCCTTCCGAGTAGCCGGAATTACAGGCGCACACGACCACGCCCGGCTGATTTTTTGATTTATTGTAGAGATGAAGTCTCGCTGCCCAGGTGGATCTCGAACCCGCGGGCTCCCAAAGGCGCGGGATTACAGGCTGAACCACCGAGCCCGGCTCTAAAATTATTTTAGCTATTCTGATTCCTTTGCCTTTCCAGATACATTTTAGAATCAGCTTATATGTATATATCAAAAATTCACCTGGGATTTTGATTGACATTGTGGAAAATCAATAGATCTATCTTTACTACATTGAGTTTTCCAATTCATGCATATAACATGTCCCTTCCTTCCTTCCTTCCGCCCTCCCTCCCTCCCTCCTTCCCTCCTTCCCTCCTTCCTTCCTTCCTTCCTTCCTTCCTTCCTTCCTTCC